ATGTCCTCAAATCAGAGTGTCACTTCGCCAGTACTTGATGCTATACCCAGAACACCCTCAAGGGAAAGTAATTCTGCATCTTCTCCTGAACTGAAAGATAGTTTTCCCAGAACTCCCTCAAGGAGAAGCAGGTCTGGGTCTTCCCCAGGACTTAGAGATGGTTCTGGGACTCCGTCAAGGCATAGCTTATCTGGGTCCTCTCCTGGAATGAAAGATATACCCAGAACACCATCAAGGGGGAGAAGTGAATGTGATTCTTCTCCAGAGCCAAAAGCTTTGCCTCAGACTCCTAGGCCAAGGAGTCGTTCTCCATCATCCCCAGAGCTCAACAATAAGTGTCTTACCCCCCAGAGAGAGAGAAGTGCATCAGAATCATCAGTGGAACAGAAGACTGTGGCTAGGACTCCTCTTGGGCAGAGAAGTCGATCTGGATCTTCTCAAGAACTTGATGGGAAACCCAGTGCATCCCCTCAGGAGAGAAGTGAATCAGACTCTTCTCCAGATTCTAAAGCTAAGACACGAATGTCACTTAGACAGAGGAGCCGCTCTAGATCATCTCCAGAGGTTGACAGCAAATCCAGACCTCGGCGTAGTAGATCTGGCTCATCCCCTGAAGTTAAAGATAAGCCAAGAGCATTACCCAGGGCACAGAGTGGTTCTGATTCTTCTCCTGAACCCAAGGCTCCTGCTCCTCGGGCTCTTCCTAGACGAAGCAGATCAGGTTCATCAAGCAAAGGCAGAGGCCCTTCTCCTGATGGAAGCAGTAGTTCTGAGTCTTCTCCAGAACACCCACCTAAATCCAGAATGGCTAGAAGAAGCTCTAGGTCATCACCGGAGCCCAAAACCAAGTCTCGTACTCCACCTCGCCGTCGCAGCTCTCGATCATCCCCTGAGTTGACTAGGAAGGCCAGACTTTCCCGTAGAAGCCGCTCTGCATCATCTTCACCAGAGACTCGCTCTAGAACTCCCCCAAGACGGCGAAGAAGTCCTTCAGTGTCTTCCCCAGAGCCAGCTGAAAAGTCAAGATCCTCACGTCGGCGACGTTCAGCTTCATCCCCACGCACTAAAACAACTTCAAGGAGAGGCCGTTCTCCTTCACCAAAGCCTCGTGGGCTCCAGAGGTCCCGTTCCCGCTCAAGGAGGGAGAAAACCAGAACAACTCGACGTCGAGATCGGTCTGGATCTTCTCAGTCAACCTCTCGGAGAAGACAGCGGAGCCGGTCCAGGTCTCGGGTTACTCGTAGGCGAAGGGGAGGCTCTGGTTACCACTCAAGATCTCCTGCCAGGCAGGAGAGTTCCCGGACCTCCTCTCGACGTCGAAGAGGCCGCTCTCGGACACCCCCAACCAGTCGGAAGCGTTCCCGCTCACGCACATCACCAGCCCCATGGAAACGTTCCAGATCTCGGGCTTCTCCAGCCACTCACAGGCGGTCCAGGTCCAGAACACCCCTGGTCAGCCGACGCAGGTCCAGGTCTCGAACTTCACCAGTCAGTCGGAGACGATCAAGGTCCAGGACATCAGTGATTCGACGAAGATCTCGTTCAAGAGCTTCTCCAGTCAGTCGAAGGCGATCCAGGTCCAGAACACCACCAGTAACCCGCCGTCGTTCAAGGTCAAGAACACCGACTCGCCGCCGCTCCCGTTCTAGAACTCCACCAGTGACACGCAGAAGGTCCAGATCTAGGACTCCACCAGTTACAAGGAGGCGATCTCGAAGCAGAACCTCACCTATCACTCGCAGAAGATCAAGATCCAGAACATCCCCAGTCACCCGCAGGAGATCTCGGTCTCGTACATCTCCAGCAAATCGAAGGAGGTCTCGCTCTCGAACCTCGCCAGTGACACGCCGTCGATCTAGGTCCCGAACACCTCCGGCTATTCGGCGCCGCTCTAGATCTCGAACCCCACTGTTGCCACGCAAACGTTCTCGAAGTCGCTCACCACTTGCTATCCGCCGCCGGTCTAGATCTCGTACTCCACGAATGACTCGGGGCAAACGGTCCTTAACAAGATCTCCTCCAGCTATCCGTAGGCGTTCTGTATCTGGAAGTAGTTCTGATCGTTCACGTTCTGCTACTCCTCCAGCAACAAGGAATCATTCTGGTTCTCGGACACCTCCAGTGGCACTCAATAGCTCCAGAATGAGCTGCTTTAGTCGTCCTAGTATGTCACCAACTCCACTTGACCGCTGTAGATCACCTGGAATGCTTGAACCCCTTGGCAGCTCCAGAACACCCATGTCTGTTCTGCAGCAAGCTGGTGGCTCCATGATGGATGGTCCGGGTCCCCGAATTCCTGATCATCCTAGAACATCTGTACCAGAAAATCATGCTCAGTCTAGAATTGCACTTGCCCTGACAGCCATCAGTCTTGGCACTGCTCGGCCGCCTCCTTCCATGTCTGCTGCTGGCCTTGCTGCAAGAATGTCCCAAGTTCCAGCTCCAGTGCCTCTCATGAGTCTCAGAACAGCTCCAGCTGCCAGCCTTGCCAGCAGGATTCCTGCAGCCTCTGCAGCAGCCATGAACCTGGCTAGTGCCAGGACACCTGCCATACCAACAGCAGTGAATCTGGCTGACTCGAGAACACCAGCTGCAGCAGCAATGAACTTGGCCAGCCCCAGAACAGCAGTGGCACCTTCTGCCGTGAACCTTGCTGACCCTCGCACCCCTACAGCTCCAGCTGTGAACCTAACAGGAGCCAGAACCCCAGCGGCTTTGGCAGCTTTGAGTCTCTCAGGCTCTGGCACACCCCCAAACACTGCAAACTATCCCTCTAGCTCCAGAACACCCCAGGCTCCAGCCCCTGCAAACCTGGTGGGTCCTAGATCTGCACATGCCACAGCTCCTGTGAATATTGCCAGCTCAAGAACCCCTCCAGCCTTGGCTCCTGCCAGCCTCACCAGTGCTAGAATGGCTCCAGCTTTGTCTGGTGCAAACCTCACCAGCCCCAGGGTACCCCTCTCTGCCTATGAGCGCGTTAGTGGCAGAACTTCACCACCACTCCTTGACAGAGCTAGGTCCAGAACTCCACCAGGAGGCCCAGGCTCCAGAACCCCACCAGCTGCCCCAAGCCAGTCTAGAATGACCTCTGAGCGGGCTCCCTCTCCTGCCTCTAGAATGATCCAGGCTCCCTCACAGTCTGTCCTCCCTTCAGTTCAGGATCGGCCTAGGTCCCCTGTGCCGTCTGCTTTTTCTGACCAGTCCCGATCTTTGCTTGGCCAGACCCCTGTAGCAGGGTCTCAGTCCCTTTCCGGTGGGACATTGGCAAAGACTACATCTGCTGGTGACCACAACAGCATGTCCTCCGGCCCTGTCCCTGGGGTGCCCCACCCCGAGGGTGGGGAACCACCTGCCTCTACGGGGGCCCAGCAGCCTTCTGCATTGGCCACCTTGCAGTTGGCGAAGGAGCGGCGGAGTTCTTCCTCCTCCTCATCTTCTAGCTCCTCCTCTTCATCATCGTCATCATCATCGTCATCGTCGTCGTCCTCTGGCTCCAGTTCTAGTGACTCGGAGGGTTCTAGCCTTCCCATTCAACCTGAGGTAGCACTGAAGAGGTGAGGGGACCTGACTTACAGAACTTTTCCAGAGGGAATGTTTGGGGAGTGGGTGGGGGTGGGGAAGGGAAAGCCCTGTCCAGAGGTTCTTGGCTTATTGAGGAGATACGGGGGCCTTGACCATTAAGCTGGGGGTAGAAGAGAATGCTGGGGTGGGGGTGCTGTTGGCGGGGAGGATTGGGACAGAAAAGTCTCCAAAGGTTAATTCTCTAGAGGATAATGATAAGTTTTCCGTCTCTACAGAGGACAGAACTAGAGGAAATGGACTTAATTTTACAGCAGGAGGGATGGCAGTTAGACCTCAAGAGGAACTCCCTGGGCTGGAAGGATCTTCAGAGGTCATCCCATCCCTCTCCCTGCCTCCAGGCAGGACGGCCCCTCCCCCAGCCAGCCTGCACACACAGGGGCTTCCCCAAGCTGGCTCTCCAAGGAAGGAGACCACCCAGCTTCGCTTCCACACCTGAGCCCAGGGGCCGTATTCCTCCTTCAGGGACATTCTTGAGGTTTAACCTTGATCCCTTGTGCTAAGGGCCCCGCCTGTTGCTTGTGTTAGCAGAGGTTGGGTCAGCTCTGGCCATTACTCTCCAGAGAATGCGTTCACCGGCTCTCTGGGCTCAGCTGGGAGAGCTCCCAGGGCCTTTCTCAGGCACCCCTACCCCACTGCTCTTCCTCCAGGCCAAGGAAGGTAGGGTTGGGGCTGGGGCAGCTTGTCTCCTAGTGACACTCTACTCCTCCCACAGGGTCCCTAGCCCCGCCCCAGCCCCCAAAGAGGTTGTTCGAGAGGGCCGTCCTCAGGAGCCAACCCCAGCCAAGCGGAAGAGACGCTCTAGCAGCTCTAGTTCCAGCTCTTCCTCTTCCTCCTCCTCTTCCTCCTCCTCCTCTTCCTCCTCTTCCTCTTCTTCCTCCTCCTCCTCCTCTTCCTCCTCCTCCTCCTCTTCCACTTCTTCCTCCCCTTCCCCTGCTAAGCCTGACCCTCAGGCCTTGCCCAAACCTGCAAGCCCCAAGAAGCCACCCCCTGGTGAGCGGAGGTGAGTGCTGCCTTGCTTGAGATGGAAGGGGTGGGGTGTGACCCTGGGGTGTGAGATCCCTTGCTGGATGTCTCCCAAGGTCTGTGGTGTCTGGTCGTATGGGAGGACTCAGGCTCTTCTCTCCCTACCTACTCTGTTGGGCCCTGTTTTGATGAAAGGGCTGTACCATCCAAGTGGGTGCCCCAGCCAAAATTGGGGATTCCTAGGTTCCTTGCTCTTCCTGCCCCTGATGTGCAGCCTGGTCCCTGGTCCCGGAGAATCTAGCTTTTAAGCCTCCCTGTTGCTACTGCCAGGGCTCTGGTCTGGCCACCGTCATATTCTCCCGACTCTGTCCACAGCCTCTTCCCTGTCTCCCTGCCTCCACGCCATTCTCTTCCACACGTAGCCAGAGGGATCTTTCTAAAACGCACATCTGGTTACTTCCCTCCACTCCACAAATCCTTCCGGGACGCCCTGTGGCCTGCAGGATAAAGCCCCACCTCTGCGGGAATGGCGTGTGAGGCTCTCCACCAACTGGCCTTGCCTGCCCTGTGTTCTCCTCTCCTGCCCGCCCCCACACATGCCCTCTGCTCCAGCCACACTCAGCGCCTTGCAGTCTAAGGAGAACCCCATGCCTTTGGACATGCTGTTCCTTCTGCCTGGAATTCCCTTGTCCGCCTGGTGAACTCCTCGTTCTGCAAGACTCCGCTCAAACAGCACCTTCGAGAAGACTACCCTGCCCCTTCCCTGTGTCTCCCTTCCCTTGGTCCCAGACCCACCTACATCGGTCCCCTTGGGGCTGCTTCCCACACATGGGGCTGAGCAAGCCTCCCTTGGCCTTCATCACCAGACTGAGCCCCTCCAAGGGCAGGGACTGTCTCTATCTTTGTACCCCACTGCCCACCCCCATGCCCTGCCCACTGGGGCACTCGGATGGTGTGCGGGCGGATGGGTGAGTGAGCAGACAAAGGTGGGTCTGAGGCTGGCCCCGTGTGGTATGAGGTTTGGTGGTTGAGACCTGGGGTGGGTGGTCCTGAGTGCTGGCTGGTGGGTTTGGAAGAGTATGGCACTATGGGGACCTGCTCTGCTCCCCAGGTCCCGTAGCCCCCGGAAACCTATAGACTCCCTCCGGGACTCACGGTCCCTCAGCTATTCGCCTGCTGAGCGCCGCCGTCCCTCGCCCCAGCCCTCACCACGGGACCAGCAGAGGTAGGGCCATGGGTGTGTTTTTTGCCTCCTGCAAATAGCGAGCCAGGTCTGGCCATCAGCAACTTATGCAGTTTTGTGGTTCAAAGATGCCAGAGGTTGGAGGTGTGTGGTCTGACGTCTGTCCTATGTTGCAGCAGCAGCAGTGAGCGGGGTTCCCGGAGAGGCCAGCGTGGAGATAGCCGTTCCCCAGGCCAGAAGCGCAGGAGGGATACACCTAGCCCCCGCTCCACACGGCACCGTTCCTCCAGGTGTGTTGTCATACTCCAAGACCTGGCTCCTTTCTGAGAGCTCTGGCTGGGACTCTGCATTGATGGCAGTCTTTTCTGTTGCAGGTCTCCATGAATGTTTTTTGGGGACTCCCACCATACCCCAAGTTTTGGAGCCACAGGGAGTACCCCCTTCTCCCCAACAGCTGCAGGAGGGGTGCTTGTCCACCCCCCCTTTGAACCCTGGCAGCATTTTGGGGGGAGGGCTCCCTACTTTCCTGCCTACTCCTTTTTTCTTTGTTCCTGTGAAATGTTAATCTCTGTGAGTTTTTCCTGGTTCACATGTTTTGGGGGGTTGGGGTGGGTGGGAATGAGAATGGGAGTTGCTGGAGGGGAGGATATAGTTCAGGACTCCCCAGTCTTGAGTCAGAAAGGGCACTTTCCCCCCTCTAAGTTCCAGGGGGAATGGTTTGGGACTTGGGAAGTTGTGTGAGGTGTTCCTAGAAAAAAGGGGCAGGAGTTGAAATTAGTTGGCCCTTACTGCCCCCCAGTGTGACCCTCCCCTCCCAACCTTTCTTCACGTTTCTTAAAGGCATTTTGGTTTTTTAAAATCTGTACAGCAAGAGCAACTTTTTCTGTCAAATAAAAATGAGAAATGCAAGAATTGAGTCTCATTTCTATTATCTGTAGTTTATTAGGAGTGGAGAAGGGCAGGGAGAAGAGCTGCTCTTTACTGAGTGCAGCCCCAGGTGTAGGTTCCCTATAGAAAGCGCCCCCGCCCAAGAGCCAACACCCTGGCTCTGGCTTACACTTTTGTTCCCCTCCTCTAAGCAGGCAGGACAAGAGGCACCTGATCCGGAGCCAGTGTGTATTGGGGGTAGGGGGCACTGTGAACACAGCAGGCTGAACAGAAAGGGTAACCTTGGGCTGGGGCTGTAGCTTCCTCAGTCCTCTGCCCATGGCCTTTGAGGGGCAGGCTGGGATGGGGGTGTACTGCTGGGCCCCCTGGCAAGCACGAGGCTGAGGAGCCTTGCAGGGAGTGGGCCCCATCCTGGTGAGCGTGATGCCTGGAATCAGGAGAGGGTGCACAGAAAGAGGCAGCAACCAGGCAGACACCCAAATTTTTTATTGGCAGGAATGGGGCACTGGAGGGTGGGCCCTAGGCCCTCTCACTGCACGGCTTGTTCGTTGGCGCTGCTTCCTGAGTCCTGTGGCTTCATCACGTCAGGCAGCTCTGGTGGGCTGGAAAAGGGCTCAATGCGCAGGGCCTCAAATGCATCATCTAGAGAGGAGAATAGAAAGAACTAGAAGGGGACTGCCACCTCTAGCTTCTGAGGACCTCTAGGCAAACACCTACCCAGGCAAAGTGAGTCTTCTCCATAGCCATGACCTCCCTAACCTCCAACTGCCTGGGATCAGTGGCTCTACTGGAATGTCTCCCACCTCTACAGGGCAAACCTGACCCTGCCTGGCCATCCTTTTCCTCACCCTCAGGACCCATCTTGTTCCCTTCACATCCCCTCTCTACCAAGCAGTGATTTTTTAAAAAACAAAAGATTCTCTTTCATCTCTGCTTAAAACCTTCCAATATATTCTGAATAAAATATTAAATCCTTGCCATTATGTTCTCACATCTCCTGCCACAAGGCCTTTACATTTTGGTCCTCAGCCTGCTATGCAGTGACAGGGCTCAATTCACCACCTTAGAGAAACCTTTCCCAGCCACCGCATATAAGCAAGCATTCAGCATCCCAAAGCCCTGGTCGTTGCCTTGGGAGCACTTAACCACTAGCTGAAAGGACCCTGTTTCTTTTTACCAGCTGCTTTCCCCGCTAAAACATTGGCTCCAAAAAGGCCTTTACTGTTCCTGCTGTCACCTCAGCACAAGTTAATCAGCCACACTTTTCTCCTGTGCTTTCCTTCTGGGAGACTGTTCCCTCCACCTGGCTCAGGGTTCTCAATTGATTAGGCAGCCCAGGGAAAGTAAGCCATGTCTGGCAACAGTATGGGCTGTCATAACTTTGGGTGGAAGGCTGCAAATAGTATCTAATGGGGGTATATGGCCACCTCTGGTAGTGGACAGGTATGCCGCTAAGCATCCTGCAATGCACAAAACAACTCACAGAATGCTCCAGCCCCAAATATCAATAGAACTGAAGTTTAGACATCTGACTAGCTTAACTTATTAATCTTTCAAGCCACAAATCCACAGTGACAAAAATAATCTCCATCTTTCCCACTCTTGAAATAGTCTGGATGATGACATTTAACATGTGAACACTGTCATCTCCCTAACTGAAATCAGTTTGGGGTGTCTTTTCCTTCTACAAGCTGCACAAGGAAACAACTACCCACCCAGAAGTGCATTTTCACCCGTGGGAGAAGCTAAGAGTAGCCAGTCCATAGTGCACACTGTGGCCCCTACCATCTATCTGTAAAACAGGTCTATCAACATCTTCCAAGAGGTGCTGCAAGCCTACAGGGTGCCTTTGTTCAAATGAGAAAGGGGCACATCCTCTAGGAGAATGCTGCCGAGCCCTGGCTTAGGAAGCAAAATAAGAGATGAGCTTTTAGCCCTCACCTGTGCCCTTCAGAAGGGCATGCCTGTACAGGGTCTGATTTGTACAAAGTCCGCACCAGCTCTACACCTGCCTCAGCGTCACTATGAAGGTCAGTGGGAACCCACATAAAGGCCCCCAAGGTTTCCGTTTGCTGAGCACTCTTAAGGCTGGGGGCTGGGGTGTGTAGGGGCTTAAGCTGCCTGGCTGTGAGGCTGGCCCTAGTATCACATCCCTTTATGGAGATGGGAACTCCAGGCCAGGAGGGACAGTTGTAAAGTAGCTGCCTGAGGACACAGCTGCTGAGGTTTAGCAGTTATCCTTATCAAAATGAAAAGTGTGGCTAAAGTACACTCCCTCATTAGTCTTTGCTATGTTTTCTTCTAGAAAGCCAAAAAACAATTCCTTGTAGCTTCATTCAAGTTTACGCAGCCATCCACAAGGCCCCTAGGTCCACAGCTGTGAAAATATTTTAAGACCCCTGGTTAAATTTCCCAAGAAAAAGAATAAAATTTAAATCTCGTTTTCCTGGGAGAAGATGGGGGTATATTGGAGGGAGGTACACCACCCCAACCACTAGGTTTCTAAACTCTGGGCAGGGTGGTGCTGGTGCATAGTTGACGAGTACAGGCTCTGGGGCAGGCAGGAGGACCTGGATCTGAATCCTAGATCTGGCAGTCCTAGAAAGTGACCTACTTCTCAGGTGCAGTTTGCTCAGCCCTAAAATGAACATCATACAAGTCTGGCCTGTACAGAGGTACTGGGGAATTAAGTGATACACTGCAAATACAGTGCCTGGCAGTGTCTGGCTCAGGAAAAGTCTTAACAGCCTGCATCTGAACCATGGCTCCCCACATAACTACTGGCAAGCCTCAAGTGTCCAACAAAATAGGAATGGCAGAGCTTAACTCCCAGGGCTATCAAGAGGATCAGATGGTAAATCCAAAATAAAATGCAGAGCACAAGAACAGGTACTCAGTAAGGCCTCTATGAGGTCCAAGATGGTGGCAGTAAAGGTGGAAGCTGAACTCCCATGAGCAAACTCAAATATACACATGTAGAGAGCAATTACTCCTGTGAGACAAATGAGGGCTGAATGAACAGCTAAATAAGG